AGATCTATATGGCTCTCTATGACTTTGTGAAGCTTGCACCAGTTTCCTCAGATTCAAGCAGGACTGTTTGCTGGTGCACTAAGAATATCACAGCCAAGACAAAGCTCTTGTCTCTGCCAGAAAGGGTTAATTAGTACAGGAGCTTGGTCCTGAGGTTGCAGCTTGTCCGCATGATGTTAGGTTGGGGCATTTCAACTTGGGATGCTGTTATATAGGATCAATGCACAAATCAAAACTACAACTTGTGTGAACACCATTACTACTACCATCATTATGGCTGAGGTGGGGACTGTAACAGCTAGCCTCTCCGTGACAATTTCCAAGAGCCTACCTTTGTTTGCCACAGAGATGACTCTATGGCTTCCAACCATATGACTTCATCCAGCTGTTTTTAAGTTAGGAAAGGAACGGCTTTTCCCATTGACACTGAAAAGAAGTGTGATTAGGCAAAAAGGAATCATTTAATATTGTAATCATAAAGTAATAATTACAGCCTTGTCTCGCGAAGCAGTCAGCAGAAGACAGATGCCCTCTCTTACATTAGCTGTCCAGGAGCCTCCTAAAATTTCGCAGCTTTGAAACACGTAGGAAGCTTTGTTCCAGGAATGCCTGCCTGCAGGAACACCTCTGTGGAGAGGAGTTTGGAGCAGACAGAAAATCAGCTTTCTCTTTTAAAGCATTAGCACAGCAGACAGTATTCCGCACCCCAAAGAGGACGTTACTCATTTTTCTACTCTTCCTCAGTGTGTGCAGAGGTAACTTTTTCCTGAACACTAGAATTCAGCCAAGAATTAGGGTATTAATGAGGATGGGAACATAGATTTGGAACCAGGTGAACCCGGTGTTTCTGGGTGGAATCTCCATCGTGAGGATCTAAGTAAAGAAACAAGCTGAATATATAGCTTTGTATTGCCTCAGCTTCTAAATGTGTTTAAGCAATGGCTCAGTTCTGCACAGAACATACATAGAAGTGGCCTCCACTGCAAGCATTTACATGATTCCAAAATAGTTACTATTCAGGATTCCTACACTTTATTGTTTAAGCACTATAAAATCCAATTCTGAATCTTACTTTTCTCCTCAAACTTCCTTTTTTTTTTCTGTCAGAAACGCCACTTAAATACTTAAGAAAGAACAAACAAGATTTTTTTTTTCCCTCTAAAAAGGGAAAAAAAGTGAACGTGACAGTACCAACAGCTTCTGAAAACAGAGTAACTTCTGTAAAGTCAGAGCCATCCTAAATGACTAGAAAACAGCCTGACCAGAAACTTTGGATTCAAATTCTGCAGAAAAAATCAGATTTTGCCTCTGTAGAAGCAAGAAATTTCTATCTAGATTGGGAACTCCTGGGCTCCCAGTGTTACGGCCAAAAAGTGGGGGGAAGGTCAGTGTCTCCCCTCTTTTCTAGCTCCTTCAGCATGTTTTTGGCATAAACCAGAGTATGTGATCCACTTTAATATGCTCCTGACCATTTTTAGCCTCTGTGGTTATTCCACTACCCAGTGAAAACAGCCTTTTTCTTTGCAAGTAAACTGACAAAGAGCATGGCAGTCAATGTGAGTGCTAACAGCCTAGGTAGCAGGGGAAGATTTGGAGAGAAGCAAAAGTGCCTGTTTGTCCTCGAGGTGTTCTGAGCTGCAAAACCAGGGTAAGACCTCCAAGATCTTGAGTTGTGTTACTGATGAGGTGAAGACAGGGCAAGTCAGAAACGCTGCTGTACACGACACGGTGACCTGCGTGGCTGGCTTCCAGTCCTGTGTGCTTTTTTAGAGTCGGCTTCTCCCGTTTGTGAAGTGAGGAGATGGATACCCCCGAGGAGAGAGTGGGTGATGATGGATACCCCTGAGGAGAGGGTGGGTGATGATGGATACCCCCTGAGTAGTGGGTAGGGGGTGATGGGGACCCCTGAGGAGCAGGTGGGCGATGATGGATACCCCCTGAGGAGAGGGTGGGTGATGGATACCCCCTGAGGAGTGGGTGGGCAATGATGGATACCCTCTGAGGAGTGGGTGGGCGATGATGGATACCCTCTGAGGAGCGGGTGGGCGATGATGGATAGCCCCTGAAGAGAGGGTGGGCGATGATGGATACCCCCTGAGGAGTGGGTGGGCGATGATGGGTACCCCCTGAAGAGAGGGTGGGTGATGATGGGTATCCCTGAGGAGTGGGTAGGTGATGATGGATACCCCTGAGGAGCAGGTGGGCGATGATGGATGCCCCCCGAGGAGCGGGTGGGTGATGATGGATAGCCCCTGAAGAGAGGGTGGGCGATGGATACCCCCCGAGGAGCGGGTGGGCGATGCCGGGCACCCCCGAGGAGCGGGTGGGCGATGGATACCCCTCGAGGAGCGGGTGGGCGATGATGGATGCCCCCCGAGGAGCGGGTGGTGCAGCCAGCCAGCCGGCGGTGCGGACACCAGCAGGTGGAGCGCCAGCACAGCGCTGCCAGCCGGC